ACTAAACATAAAATAGCATGCATGTAACAAAAAGGGGGGAAAATACAGGTGGGAAAAAAGAGATCTCTCAGGGTAGTGGAATGATGGGGTGATTACCCCATCAGTTGTACATTGTATTACTTTCAGAATTGTTTATTTTTTATTTTTTAATCATTTATATTAACTTTTATCATTGAGAATTTTTTTATTGTTCAAATACATTTGTCTCCATTTACCTGCCACCACTTTCCTCTGCCCCTCCCACCCCCACCTCCCTACTTCAGAATTTTAAAAAAAAAACTCACAAAAATGTCACAGCTTCAGGATAAAATATTGATTGATGTGAAAAAGATGGGTTAGGATTTTAATCCAGAGGACAGCATTTGGCTAAAAATGAAGAAAATATACTTCTCACATGTTCTCAGCCCACCATGCTTTTTATGTGTTCTCATGTATTTTTGAGATGAAAGCATAAGATAATGATTAACGTGAATCTTGAATGTATATGGACTAGTCCAGGGAAGGCAGTCTCAGGAGTCATGGCATTAGATATTTTGTTCCAGCCAGCATTTTGGAAACTATCACCAGGGAGAACGAAGGTTGCTGTGGCAATGTCCTTTTTTCCCTCCAGCCAGCTGCTTTATTTTCATGATATAAGGTTGTCAGATCTTATAGTATAGTGGTGGGGCCCTTTATGTGTAGGTTAGAAAGCATGGCATTAAAAGCCATTTTGTGTTTATTAAAATAACATCAAACCTACTGGTCCGAAAATGATCGGTCACTTTGAACATTTAAACACAAATGTTTAAACGTTTCAGTTCAGATTGAGTCTCAGAAATTTCTTGGTGCCATTACCAGAAATTGACATTAGTGCTATACTTGAATAAAATTAGTAAAATTAGGAAATTTTAGTTTGGATTTAGTTTAAAAAAAAGATTTTATTTATTTTTAGAGAGAGGGGAAGGGACGGAGAAAGAGGGGGAGAGAAGCATCAACTGACTGCCTCTCACGTGTGCCCTGTACCCCAACCAGGGACCAACCTGCAATCCAGGCATGTGCCCGAACTCCAGAACATGTGACCTTTCACTTTGTGGAATGATGCCCAACCCACAGAGCCACACCAGTCAGGGCTGGTCTTAGTTTGTTGGTTTTTTTTTTAACTGAGAAGCTGTGAAAAGAACTTGGTGTACATGGTACAGCAAACTCATTTTGTAGTCTTGAGTCAGAAAAAACATTGCCGTAACCACAGGGAGAATTCATTATGTTCTTAGTAATAATGGGTTTTTTTCCTCCTTTTTTTCTTTGATATGACATGTATGATATGTTTCAGTCTGGACATTTTAGAAAAATAATGGTACCTCAGGGTCACCCGTTCAATTTCCAGTCTAGGGCACATGCCTGGGTTGCAGGCCAGGTCCCCACTAAGGGGCATGCGAGAGGCAACCACACAGTGATGTTTCTCTCCCTCTCTTTCTCCTTCCTTTCCCCTTTCTCTAAAATTAAATAAATAAAATCTTTTAAAAAATCTTTAAAAATAAATACTAGTACCTCAGTGTACTGAGATGAGAACTAATTTAGTAACTGGTAGGCACCCTTGCCAGAGACCTGGTGGCAACAGTGAATTTCTCAGCCATTTCTATTTCCTGGGATTACTGTTTTAAAAGAAGCATTTCAGACAAGGTTTCGACTATGAGTTCAAGATGGGAAGTGTCTCCTATAATTGCCTGTCTTGGCCTCTTGCAGAGTGAATTTCTTTCAGAAGTCTGAGGTGGAGGGAGGATCTAGCTGGGTATGCTAAAAGTACTGTTGAGTAGATTCTAATTCCTTGAAAGGTCTTTCAAGCCCTTTTTCCTGTAAAAGTCCATTTCAGTGAGTGAACAGATATTAGGCATTGGGCCCATTCTAGTAGTCTAAAAGTTGAGAGAGTACTTCAGTCATCTTTTTTCCCCATAGAAAAAACAAAATGTGACTGTGTTGAGTGTTATTTCTCTGCTGGAAATAAGTGTGCTTTTTCATTAGTTTGTTCATATCAGTCTGTTAGGGCTTTCAGGCACTCAGTAAGTCTTAAACAGAGTCACAAAAGAATAGTAGTGCACAATATCTGGAGGCTGGAGGAAAAGGCTCAGTACAATTTTCATATAAAGGACCTTAAAATATTCTACCTCCTGAAATTGTCGTTTAACTAAAAGCTGAGTTTTCTTGTTAGCTTGAGCCATTGAACGGTGTTTGGGTAACCTTTTGACCTTACTTTGGCAATTTGAATCCAAAGTTTTTGGGGTTTTTTCCCCCTTTGATTTCATTTTTTTAAGCTCTATGCTAGATAATGTTTTTATTTATGTACTCATGTAATTATTTTTAGATAATGTTTTTAAGTGAAAATTTGCTTCTGAAAGTAAGACCAATCTCTCCTTTGTAGCTCAATAGTGGCATACCAGCCAGCTGGAGACAACAGCCACACCTTCGATGTCACAGCCATGTTCAAGTCTATTGGGATTTTCCTGGGGATCTTCAGTGGATCTTTTGCAATGGGTGCTGCTACTGGAGTGGTGACAGCTTTAATATCCTTTTATTATATTTTTATCTTTTCTCATTAACCCAACAACATAATTGAATGCTGTGTTCCGTAGTCTCTTCCAGTTCCATATTGGCATTGTGTTACAATTATTAACTTCATAACCAAATACTTGGTTTGAAAACATTAGCCAATCATCATTGCCAATAAATAAAAGAATTTAATTGTTTTTTGTAGGGCTCCATGTCCTCAAACTTTCACTAAGAAAGTTTAATTAGACACAGTGACCCTTTGGGGTGAATGTTAATGTTGTACACTAAATCGATAAAAACTTAGATATATTTCAAAGAGCCTTTGGGTGTCCTGTGTTGCTGTTCAGCCTGGCAGTCTTTTGCTCTTAGTTTACAAGGAAAAATAGGAAACCTACGATCATGATGCCAACTGAGTAAGATAGTGTTCCTGGGCCAGAACAGATGGGAGTTCATGTTAGCTTTCACCGATATGAACCTTCTGCTCCAGAGTCCTAGGCACTGCCACTGATTTGCTGTTAGAAATATTGGGCAAGTCTTTCTTGTATTCATTAAAGAATACAAGATTGCCTGCTACATGCCAGATGCTATGCTCTGAGCATCAAACAAAAATGAGACAGACATGTCTTCTGTCCCCCTGGAGCCTCTGGTATAGCAGCATTGACAGTTGACCTCCTAGGTCCCTGTGTAGGAAGGTGGATGGTGGGAGCAGTGGGGAAAATCAGTGGGACTAGATAAAGAGCTTCCAGCTCTTTTATATACTTTCCTATAAAACAAATCCTTTTTTTAAGAATCTATAAGTTTGGTACACTTCAGCTTTGTGCTGGAAGAGACTTGTCTTAGGGCTTTTTACAGGTGAGTTGGGGCACAAAGAGGCAGTAAGAAGAGTTCTGAAGTAACCAGGGCCAATAGTTATCTCTTTCCTATTACAATTTCCTTGAGGGTAGGAAGTATATCTTACTAATCTTTTTGTTGTAGTACATGTTTATTGAAGTGAATGGAGATTGCAGTCTGAGATTTGTTGCAGCTTCACATGGGCCCTTCCACTGTCAACTAACAAATACTTTTTAGACTAGTATGAGTGATGTGCCTCAGTTTCTTTGTCATGGAATGTTCCGCATCACAGAGGTGTTAGGACATCGAATAAATATGACATCTCATGGAAATTACATTTTTAATAAATGTGAATTGCTGTAATTATGGAAGCTCCCTTGCTTTGGGTCACACATTAATAATCAGTAGTTGGCATGTTGTGTATCTGATCTGTTGCTCCCATCTCTGCCTGTCCTTTACTCTGTGTTTCTGGCAGGACATGTGATACACATGAAATAATTTGATTGACTAAGCTGTATGACTTCCTCATTTAAGGGATGGCTGCTCACTCCTCAGTAAGATACTCATTTTAAGAGTTTCTTCATTCTGGTGCCTTCTTATTTTGCGACTTTGGTGTTAGAGAGGGTGGCTAATCCTTCTTTAACTTTCATGGTTGCCTTGCTTTGACTATTATTTTTTCTAGTCACATTCCTGTATTACGAGATCTTGTTACTAACCTTGACAGTCTTACGTGACAAAGTTCACCAAATTACGAGAGTTCCAGTTGTTGGAGACAGGCTTGTTCTTCTTGATGTCCTGGAGCACCTTCCTCTTGGCTGAAGCATGGGGTTTCACAGGTGGGTTTCTTTCTCCTTTCGACTGTAAATCCTTAGAGAGACTATGCCAGGCATTTTTTTTTCTATGAGTAGACTAACTCCACTAATATTTGAACATACGTGTTAAAGTTGGGATTTATGCTGTCACTATAGAATATAAAAAAGATTTTCAGTGGAAGTAGTATGTCTCAACAAAGTATGCCACAATTGAAAATGTCAACACTAAGCATATAATCTACTTCTGTAAAATAAAAGCCTCAGTAGAAAAGTCGGGAACTCTCACATGAACTTGGAATTCTTTGTCATAATAGGTGTGGTTGCAGTGTTGTTCTGTGGCATCACACAGGCCCACTATACATACAATAATTTGTCCACGGAGTCTCAGCATAGAACTAAACAGGTAAGAGAAACTTTATAGTTTGTGAATAAACTTTTCCTCCCTGCAGTGAAACAGAAGTGTTTCATACTGAAAAAAAATAATCCTTGATCTGTTCAAAACGATGCCTACTCATTGTGGCTCCTCTTTCTTTGACTCTAGAAATAGATGGAATTAGCAGGTGAAGGGTGACTATGGGGTAGAGGTAGGTCAGCAGACTATCCACAGGCTATTGCTGCTGTATCAGTTAGCTTCCTTTTCTGTTTTCCTAATCTCATGGCTTACTTTTTACTAAGCTTAAATATTTCATTTTTATTTTATTTTCCCTCTGGGCATCAGTGTTTATATTTTTAAAATTAAATTTATTGGGGTCGCATTGGTTAATAAGATCATACAGGTTTCAAGTACACATTTCTATGATATTAGATCTGTATATTGCACTGTGTGCCCACCACAAAAATATGGAACAGTTCCTGGATCTGTGTGTCCCCTGCACGGGGGCCATGCCAGCCTTCTCTGTAACATTCCCATTTTAGTATATGTGCTGCCGAAGCGAGCACTGTAATAGCTTTTAAGAGGAATGTTTTAGAAGTTCACTTAGGTCTAAGTAGAACTACTGCTGTGTGATATTGGTAAGATTAACTTCTAATCTGACTAGATGCAGTGCCAGGTGATACAGCGAAGATTAAATTCCTTCAGGCACTTCAAGGGTACTGTGTATTCAGGAATGTCAAAACATCAGTGATTGGGCATCATATGGCACTGAATGATCAGTTGAGCTGGGTACCTGAAGGAAATTATAAAAGAAATAGGCATAACATTTTCTAGTCTTATGAGGTATATGGGGCAAAGACATAAACAATGTGTAATGACTAGAATAAATACAGATGCATGCTCGATTATGATTACATCAAGAAATAGAGGCTTTAAGGTTTGCCAAATGATTAGAACACTTGAGATTAGCCTGGAAAGGACTCATGATAAAGCAGGAACAAAGGTACTTCTTCTTTTCTTCTTTGTTCTGGAGCCACAAATTTAGTGTATGACATGCTTTTTTCCCAACCCTTCAAAAGAAATTAGGCTTTTCCCCCCATGGATATACATCGGGGTTACAAATCCCTTCTACAAGTTAATGCAGTGCAATAAATATATAGAGAAATAATCAGCTGGTGAGGGGTTGGCATTTTTGTAGGCAGCAGGGTGGTGAATTAAAAAACAAACAAGGTGTGAGTGTTCAGTCTTACTGGTGATATAAAGTTTGTGTACATAAAAAGACTAATAGAACTTCTAGTTGTTTGTTTCAGATTAGATTTCATACCAGAGTTCAGAGAAGCGGGGAGATGGTTTGAAGCTTGAGGAGCTGGAAAGCTATCGTAGAGGAAATGGTGAGACTAGAAAGCTGGGAAAGATTCAGAAAAGCCTAGGGGAAACAAAACCAGCAGAGGCAGAAATAAAAAGGCAACTAAAATTTTCAAATGGAAGGCAGTAAAGTGCAGAGCAGGGGTCGGCAAAGGTTAGCCAGGCTTTCCTGTGAGGTCTGCGAGCTACGGATGGTTTTCAGATTTCTAAGTGGTTGTAAACAAATCAAAAGAATAATTTGTGAGATGTGAAAGTTACATGAAATTCCTATTTCAGTGTCCATAAGTAGCTGTATGGGCACACTGCCACACCCATCTTTTAACTAAGAGCCTGTGGCTACTTTTGTGCTAAGATGGAAGGGTTGAGTGGTTGTGACAAGGGACCATGAGGCCCACAAAGCCTCAAATGTTTACTCTCTGTCCCTTCACAGGAAAAGTTTACCAACCTCTGGTATTGATTAAAGTAGAGACTCGGGAGTCACTGTATTGTTCTAGATCTTGCTTCCACTACTTACTTGCTGTCTGTATGAACAGGGGGGCAGTTACATAATTTCTCTGTGCTTCAGTTTTGTCATCTTGAAAATGAGGATAATAATAGTGCCTACCTCACAGTTGTGGTGAGATTAAAAAAGATAATGCATGTAAAGTCCTTAGCATAGTATTGAACACATAGTAAAAACTGGATAAAGCTTAGCCATTAATCATTAAACAAATAAGTAATAATACTAGTATATTAAGTTATTTAAAGTAAATTAAGTATATACTTATTTATTTTTGCTTCTATTCCCATTTTTCAGCAATAAGTCAACACCAGTTTAGAAAGATTAACTAATTTGCCCAAACACACATGGCTAGCAAGTGGAGAAGGCACTTGGATTCCTGAGCCCATGTTTTATGGGGGTATAGGGCTCGTGTTAAAGAGCAGTGGCAGATAACCCTGATGCACAGAGGGATGCTGGGTTAAGGGATCTTTGAATTCATTCATTCAGTAAGTCTCATATCCCTACTCTGTTAGTAACACTTGACAAGGCAGTGATATCAACAGGCGGAAGGTGGGCAGGCAGCTGGGAAGGGTACTGAGCACAAGACACTGATGCATGAGCCCTTACTCCCTAAGCGAAGGCCAAGACCCACGTAAAAAGTGAAATTGCATCACACGGAGGCGATATGAGAGTTGTTATAATGAGTCCTGTGCCAGGACAAAAAAATTTGAACTGTATCTCCCAGTCTCCAGTTCATGCTCATGTGATGAGGGAAGTGTCTATGAAACTGCCATGCTTAGAGAGATTCATTGGGTGGAGGTGTAGCAGATAGGTGACAGGGATACCACTTACAGTCCTTTCACAGCATGATGGGTGGGGAGTGATAAAAGGTAGACAAGGGTAGTGGCAGAGACAACAAGGAACATTCCAAAAAAAAAAGATTGTCAGGGTTTGGTGAAGGAGGATAAGAATGACTGGATATGAGGATTGGAGAAGAGAAGCTGATTGGGGAAAGTAAGAGGCGACATTTCTGGTCTTTTCTGTGGGACTGGGAATGTCATCAATACATTTGCTTGCCTCTCAATCACGTTTTTCGGAACATACATGAACTTCATATATTTGAAATGTCTGTTTCATTATCTTAGTAATACTCATGTTTTCAAATTATGTAACTTAATTTATTTACTGGCCTAACCTTTTGACATTTCGTTTCAGTTGTTTGAGCTTCTCAATTTCTTGGCAGAGAATTTCATCTTCTCCTACATGGGACTGACACTCTTCACCTTCCAGAACCATGTCTTCAATCCAACATTTGTAGTAGGAGCATTTGTATCCTTTATTATGTGTTCTATTTTTAAAACTTTATTTTAAAACTTTTAAAACTTTCTCCTTGGAAGGGAGAAGCTGAGTACATGAAAGGGAGCAATCAATATCGCTGGCCTTGTGATAAGACAGGAGGAAATCAAATGCAAAGCATGTGGGGAAGGCTTGGCCTTCAGTGGAAGGAGGCATAACTCTACCACAATTCCAGGAGAGGATAGGTTATGTAGAGATGAAGGTGTATTTTCGAGATGGTGTTCCTGACTGATAACCTCTATTTTAATCTGTTAAGTATGAGGTGAAAGTATCTGCTAAATGAGATGGGAGCAGGTGGCCTGTCAGTTATCTATTATGTAACAAATTGCCCTAAAAATTAGCAGCTTAAAACAACAACAGTCATCTATTATCTCACACAGTTTCTGAGAGTCAGGATTCCAGGAGCAGCTTAGCTGGGCTGTTCTGGCTCAAGAGTCTCTTATGAGGTTGCGATCACTCTCGGGGCTGGGACTGTGCTCTCTGCAGACTTGACGAGCTGGAGAATCCACCCCAAGCTTGCTCACGTGGCTCTTAGCTAGAGGCTTCCGTTCTGTTCCATGTGAACCTCTTCTTGGAGCAGCTCACAACATTACTTCCCCCAGAGGGAATGAGCTGAGAGATCCCCAAGATGGAAGCCAAGCGCCTTTTATAACTTAATCTTGGAAGTGATATATACCATCATCCCTTCTGCCATTTTCTCTTGGTCACACAGATGGACCCTGGTGCAGTGTGAGCAGGGACTTCCCAAGGCTGTGACTATTTGCAGGCAGGGGTCATTGGGAACCATCTTGGAGGCTTGTTTCCACAGGTGACAGGAGTTTTGAGATGATTTAGAAATAGCTGTTGTAGACAATGGAAGAGTGGGTTGACCAAAGAAATGCTATAGGAATGCGGAGCAGTATTAGGGACCTGTTTGAGTCTGAGAAATAGGTATTAGCTGTGGAATCAGTCTGTCCTGTTGTATGACTTCATCCTTAGCTGTGAGCATGGAGGAAAGAGATGGTTGGGTCCACAGAACAGGGCAACTGAGTGTCAGGTATTGGGGAGTATTATTAAGGTGTGGTTAGGAAGGGAAGTGAAGCAGCAATAGGACTTACTGAAGGGAAAGTAGCAGAATCTTTGGACGAGAGGTCCCAGTGAGGTGGAAGAATTATCCAAGTGACATAGATGAACAGGAAACATGAAAAAAAAGTTATGGTTGGAGAGAAGGATATTTGAATTGGTGATTTTCAAAAGAAGAATTTTAAAAACCTCCGCAATACACTTCTGCTGAAGAGATTAACAGAAATACATACATACATCCATATATATATATATTTTTTTCATTCATTCCTCACTCAAGGACTTTTTTTTTTCATTGCTTTTAAAGAGAGAGGAAGGGAGAGAGAGAAGCATCAATGTGAGAGAGAAGCATGGATTGGTTGCCTCCTGTACACGCCCCAACTGGGGATTGGTGTCTGGACAAGGGGTTGCATGTGGCATGCCCAGGCTGGGGATCGAACTCGAAACCTGGTTATGGGACGACACTACATCCGACTGAGCCATACCGGCCAGGGCTAGCAAAAATATTTTTGAAATTAAAATTCTAAGTACAATCTGTTAGAAAGTGAGGTGTCACTGCAGTGCCATTCTGCAGAGTCTTAGTCTTCTGGGAATGAACTTCAGGCACAAAAAAAGATAAAGCCCTATTAATAAGAGGAGAACATTAGCTGGAAGACTCCCATGAGATCAGTAACTTCATATCCTGCTGGTGTTTGAGAAATTTTTGAGCAGTCAAGTGGCATGACCCACTATACTTAACCAGAAACAAGGCTAAATAGTCTCCCTAGGTTTCTGAGTCTGTTAGGAATTGAAGTTTCTCGATACAAAATCTTACCATGCAAACTGACTCTTGCCAAGGAGAGCTGCTCTCTTCCTGGCTATAGTACTTAGGATGTAGGTTTCATTTTATGTGACAAAGACCCAAATTAACTGAGGTTTAAACAAGATTCAAGTTTTTCAATGAGCATATAATGCTGTGTGCAGTTTGTTTTGCTTTTAGCCTTACAGACTTTAGCCATTTACAAAGGTACTTAGGTCAGCACTTGTTTTCCCCACTTTGTTTCATTTTTAATCTTAGATTTTCCTTTATACTCCTTTCAGAAAAATGGGGTGGAGATTATATTGAAACCCCTGAAATAAAAATTGTTATTGTAAAGTAGGAGTCTCTATAGATAGCAAACTGAAGGAAAAGACACTAAAATTGTTTTTTTTTTGTTAAAACCATTCTGAATTCCTATTAAGCCTTCCCTTTGAATTAGGGTGGAAGTTACAGAGTTGGAGGAACATGGAGTGCTTAAGCTGCCCTTTTACTTGTTCTGAGGA